GCTCATTCTGGTTGTTGAAGGATTGGTAGCGAATGTAAATATCATCCTTCAGTGTGAATGAAAATTCACGGTGTTGAAAGTAATTCTTCGTCACTGCAAAAGAAATTTACATTGTAAAGCTAATCAGACACTTTATTTAGCTAATGGCATTATGATATTTGAAAAACAAGATGTGTGTTGAGGAACATCCTTAGCCCTTACCCCATAATACTGTGCTAGATAGGAGAAGGATGGGATTAACTGCCTCTGGAAATCTACTGGAGGGTGAGCTATGCGTTGGTTTTACCTCTGTGGTACACAGATGTGAAAGACAGAAACCTCCCCACAAAAAAAAACCCCACAAAGAAAACACCTAGTTTCTCATTTGAAGGGGTGTATCATCTTGCCTACATGTGTTAAAAGAGTAAGAAAATGAGGTGAGAAATGTAGAAATGTTTGGAAAAAATCCTGCAATATAAGTAATAAAAAATAACAATCTAAAAATGGATACATAGGCAGACAAGCAAGCTGGACAGGTATGGGCAGTGAAAAGGACTATACCCAAGAGCATAGGTGTGGCAGAGGATATTTCTATACACATACTTGTCTATGCTATAAAGATATAATTGCATACAGTAAACAAATCAAAGTGATTAAAAATTCTTAATTATAACAGAACAGATTAAGGGAAGGAGTCATTGGGCTCAGGATTTAGGATGATTGTTTCAGGGGACAGTTAGGTCAACTGGCATAACATAGTTCACATAGACAATCCTCTGTGATGAGTAGTTCCTCAAACTCACACCCACAAAATGACCAGATTTACTGGTTTAATAGAGATCAGTAGAGCCCCTGCGTCTGTGGTCCATGGACACTCTTCAGGCATGAAATGAACTCACTTTTTAGCCAAACAGACAGCACTAACAGAGTAACAAGCTCCTCGGAACAATTAACCCTGTGCGACAAAAAGGCACCATCTGTCTCTCCAAAAAGTCAAAAAGCAGAAAGAGTTAAGAATGGATAAGGGGAAAGCAAGGAGGAACCAGGTAGAAGGCTATTACATAGCGAGAATTGCAATTAATGTTACAAAACAAGTTTATATTGCTGAATGGAAGACGAATTTGCTCTGTAAACTTACATTCAAACAGTTAATCTAATGCAACCTCACTGTCCTTGGTGAGCGTTAATAAATGAAACCAGCTCTAAGAAGTTCCTTTTCCTCTTCTCAGATACGCACACTATCCCAGTAACTGCCGTGTTTAGGCACCTGGCAGGGAAACCGGCCACCTACAGTGAGCCTGACGGCGAAGGAGGAGCAGCGGCTCTCTCACTTCCATCTCAGAGGTGTGGGTGGGGTACAGAAGGCTTGAGATAAGGCATGAAGGAGCATGGCTCACAACAGGTACTTCCTACTGTTTCAATAACATCCCCCTCCTCCCTCTTTATACTTCCTTCTCGATCTATTACTGTCCACCTTCCCGCCTCGTACCTCCGCCATAGTTGAGCCAGCGATAGTACTGGGGGTAGGGAAAGAGTCTCCGGTAATAAATTTTAAGAAGCTCGGGCAAATCCGCAGGATCGAACGTGTCCATTGAGCAAGGAATTAGGCCAGTGCAGGATCAACTCACTCTAAATTGGCGCGAAAGGCGCGGCGGTGTCTCCGTCACTACGCAGGGCACTGGGCCCACCCTACGCAAAGGCTGCTGGGATTTGTAGTTTCAGCGTTCACGTGGACAGAGGACTGCACAACCAGTCTAGGAAGAACATCCCTGACAAGTTAGTGATTTCACTGTTCAACTTAGCTTATTAAGACAAACTATTGAAGTTATTCCATTCTAACCTTATGAATGTCTTAGAAAGATCACGCTTAACCAATTTTTTTTAAAGCGGATTGGAGAGTAGTTCTTTTAATACTTCAAAAAATGACTAAATCCAATAGAACACCCAACTCCAGAGAATCATGGAGAACTCTATGGCTATCAAAAGAGTTCTCCTGGTGTTGATGTGACAGATACATCTCATTTCAGTTGAGGATTAGGATGGGCAGCCTGATAAATCTCATGGATATCTTGCTCATCACTTTAAAACCATCATCTTTCTGATTTTTGTTATTGTAGTAATATTGTTTGGTCCCCCCACCCCCACCCCCAAGGCTTGTTATTTAGAAAGTAGACAGCCCATCCAGCTTCCTGGTCTGTCTTAATCAGGGAAATCCACCAAAACCTGTCTACCCTGGGTAACCCTTATGGCATTTGGCACACAAGTGTCACAGATTTCAATATCACAGCAACCTTAAGTTGTCTCAGTACAGCAGACTGACAGACAAATGCTGTACCACTTAGAACAATTAATAGATGCAGCCTAGATGCACTCAACAGTCTATGCCAGAAAATTTGGAGGACAGATGTCTGGCGAACAGATTGGAAGAGGTTCATATTTGTTCCCATTCTCATGAAAGGTCATCTAACTGAACATGGAAATTATTGAAAAATATTATTGATCTCACATGCAAACAATATAGTGCTGAAGATGATTAAGAAATGGCTGGAACAGTACATAGATAGGGAACTGCCAGAAGTTCAAGAAGGAATTAGAAGAGGCTGTGGCACCAGGGTTATCATTGCTGATGTCAGATGGACCCTGGCTGAAAGTAAGGAATACCAGAAGATGTCTATTTGTGCTTTTATTGACTATGCAAAGGTATTTGACTGTGTGGATCATAACAAGTTGTGGCTGACATTGAGAAGAATGAGAATCCCAGAGCACTTGATTGTGCTCCTGAGGAACCTATACCTGAAACAGGAGGTGTTGTGTGAATGGATCAGGGGAGCACTGCATGGTTTGAAATTGGGAAGGAAATGCTCCAGGGATAACCTCTCTCCATACCTATTCAGTCTGTATGCAGAGCAAATTATCGAAGAAGCTGGGCTCTGTGAGGAGGAGTTTGGCATCAGAATTGGAGGGAGACTCATTAATAATCTATGTTTTGCAGATGGTACAACCTTGCTTGCTGAAAGTGAGAAGGACTTGAAGCACTTGTTGCAGAAGATCAAGGAATGCAGCCTTTGGTATGGATTGCATCTCAATGTCAAGAAAACAAAGATTCTTACCACTGGACTGATAGGCAGCGTCATAATGGATGGAAAAGAGACTGAAACTGTCAACAACTTCATCTTGCTTCAATCAACAATTAACACCTTTGGTACCAGCAGTCCGGAAATAAGGAGACACATTGCACTGGGAAAATCTGCAGTTAGAGACCTCTCTAAATTATTGAGTAGTAATGATGTCAGTTTGAGGACTAAGTTGTGTCTAATTCAGGCATAGTCTTTCTGATTACTTGCTGTGCAGCTGAGATCTGAACAGTGAATAAGAGTGACAGGAAAAGAATTTACGCCTTTGAGCTGTGGTGTTGGAGAAGAGCACTGAACATCCCATGAATGGCTAAGAGAAAAACCAGATATGTCTTGGAGAGGGTGCAGGTGGAGTGCTCTTTGGAGGCAAGAATAATGAGGCTTCAACTCACATACTTTGGGCATGTTGCTAGAAGGTGATATTCCTTGGAGAAGGACATGATACTGTGAAGGGTGGAGGGTTGACGAAGAAGAGGAAGACCCTCAACCAGGTGGACTGACACAGTAACTGCTGCAGTGGGCTCGTGTGTGTTGGGAAGAGTGAGGATGGCACAGGATAGAACAGGGTTCACATCTATTGTTCATGAGGTCGCTATGAGTTGTACTTGACTCAATGGCACTTAACAACAACAACAACAACAACAACAACAACAACAACAGAAATATTGGGAAAGTCAGGAAAGAATAAACTATGATTTTATCTGCCTAATCTTGAAAAGGATCATTATCCCTAGCTCTTTGAGGAAGATTGGTCTACAGTGGGCTCTGGGTAAAACCAATTATTTTCCATATTGTTAGAAATAGTGTTTCCTGCAAAACCTTTCTTGTTGGTTTCCACAGTCCCTATGCATCCTGTTTCCTATGCATCCTCTGAATTATGGGAGTCTCTATGGATCCACATCCACAAGCAGATGACACAACCCTGCTTGCTGAAACTGAGGAGGACCTGAAGTTCTTGTTGCAGAAGGTAAGGACTGCAACCTTCAATATGGATTGAGGCTCAATATCAAGAAAACTAACATTCTTACCACTGAGCTAATTGGTTGTATCATGATAGATGGTGAAGAGATTGAGATTGTTAACAGCTTCAGATTGCTTGGTTCCACAGTTAACACAGTTAACCTACATCCAGAAAATCAAAAGATGAGTTGCATTGGGGAAAAGTGTTGTCAGGGACCTCTTCAGAGTACTGAAGAGCAATAATGCCAGTCTAGAGACTACGGTACAGCTGATTCAAGCCATGGTCTTTGCAGTTACTTGCTATGCATCAGAGAGCTGGGCAATGGCTAAGACTTGTGAAAGAATTGGTGCCTTTGAGTTGCAGTGCTGGAAAAGAGTATTGAATAAACCATAGACTGCTAGGAGAACAAACAGGTTCATCCTAGAGAAGATGAAACCAGGCTGTTTCTCGGAGGCAAAGATTTTGAAGCTTCATCTGACATACTTTGAACATGTTGCCAGGAGGGACTATTCCTTGGAGAGGTACATCATGCTTGGAAAAGTATGAGAGGCTTCAGCATCACAGCAACCACGAGTTACCTCTGTACAGCAATGCACAAACCAGTGCTATACCACCTAGAAGAACGTTTGACAGGAAAACAATTTGAACCTGGCCGAGGGCCGCAGATGAAAATCACCCACCTTTGGCTTTGTGGCATAACTTCCTTTCCACTAGGCCAACGTAGCTCTCTCTTTGTCGTTGTCATCAATATTAAATACTTGGGAGTAAATCTAACCAGAAACTCAAAGGATCTAGTCAAAGAAAGTTAGAAAACATTACTACAGAAATAAAAAGAGACCTGGAGAAGTGGAAGAATATCCCTTGCTCATGGATAGGAAAACTCATTATTGTAAAAATGACAATACTACCAAAGGCAATTTAAACTTTCAATGCAATTCCAATACAAATACGAATTCTGTTCTTCAAGGAGATGGAAAAGGCAATCTCTAATTTCATTTGGAATGGAAAGAGACCCTGAATAAACAAAACACTCCTTAAAAAGAGAAACAAGGTAGGAGGTATCTGACTCCCTGATTTCAAATCCTACTACACTGCTGTGGTGGTCAAGACAGCGTGGTACAGGTATAGTGACAGACACATAGATCAATGGAATAGAATTGAGAATTGAGAAATCAGCCCATCTATCTAGGGTCAATTGATTTTTGACAAAGAGATGAAATCAGTTAAATGGGGAAACGACAGCCTTTTTAATAAATGGTGCTGGCAAAATTGGAAAACCATCTGTAGAAAACTCAAGCAAGATCCACACCTCCAAACACAAAAACCAACTCAAAATGGATCATGGACCTAGGACTAAAACCAAGGACTATACATTTCATTAAAGAAAAGCTTGGATGAACTCTAGAAGTCCTAATCTACAACATAAACAGTCTTCCAAGCATTCTGAAAAATCTACAACCAGGAGAGGATAAAATAGATGAATGGGACCTTCTACAAATCAAATCCCTGTGCACATCTAAAACTTCTCCAACAGGGTAAAAAGGGAAGCCACAGACTGGAAAAAAAATTTGGTAATGGCATGTCGGATAAGGGACTTCTATCTAGAATTTATAATATACTTGAGCATCACAACAAGATAAAGGTAAATAACCCAATTGAAAAATGGGCACAGGATATGAACAGACATGTCACCAAAGAAGACATTCAGATGGCAAACAAACACATGAAGAAATGTTCAAAATCCCTAGCTCTAAGAGAGATGCAAATCAAAACAACTATGAGATATCATCTGACCCCAGTAAGAATAGCAAAATTCAACAGAGCAGCAAACATCAAATGCTGGCACGGTTGCGGAGAAACTGAAACCCTTATTCACCGTTGGTGGGAGTGTAAAATGGTGCAACCACTATGGAAGGCAATATAATGCTTTCTCAAAAAGTTGTAAATGGAAATACCATTTGACCTAGAAATTCCACTAATAGAATATACCCTAAAGAAACTATAACTGCCACCCAAGCAGATAAATGCACATGCATGTTTGTTGCAGCTTTGTCCACAATAGCAAACAGTTGGAATAGGTGCCCATTAACAAACAAGTGGATAGAGAAGCTCTGCTATATTCACATAATGGAATATTATGCTGCATTGCAAAACAGAGAACTTATGAAATATTATACAAAATGAATGACCCTGGAGGACAGTATGCTGCGTGAAATATCTCAGTCACAAAGGGACAAATATTGCATAGTGCCACTGTTGTAAAAGGGGACTGACATTGGGGTTGGGAGGAGACTGAGAAAAATGGGATACATTTTGTGTACTGCATTGAAACAGATGAGGGAGAGAACTGATTAAAAGCAATATATGATGAGGTATTATTGTCATGACAGGAGTCCAAAATGAAGGCTGCATAGTGGAGTGGACTCGGGGGTGGGGAAATTGTATAACAATGAAAGAATTTTTCTTTTACTTTTCAAAGAGCAGAGTGAACTGGAGG